TCGTACACAAACAGGGAGCATCGTGCCAACCAGGCTACAGGAAAAAAAATTAAACTATTTTCGCACATGAAAAACAAAAAGGACACCATCTTACGACTCATTCCTGGGAAAAGTGGAGCAAACGTTCACATGTACATTTGAATTCATTTTTATCGGTTATATTTACAAAGTGGTGGGGCAATGAGTTCCATTCTGTAATGGCAAGCTGTAATGGCGAGTTGCGAAATTGGTTCGTGCGACAATTTGGTAAGCGAATGTTGTGAGGATGATTATGTCTGGGAAAGATGCGATGAGGGGGAGGCAATAAGCGTTCCTTAAAGTTAATATCAAAGTAATAAATATTGTGGATGAACGCCAGACGGGAGACTTTGCGCCTGGCGTCTAATAAGGGTAAGTTAGCCCTTTCAACGCTGAAACGCTCGTGTAAGGTGAATAGTCACTATATATGAAGCGCGCGGCTTTGTTTTGAATTTTTTCTAATTTGGCAATTAGGTAATCCTGGTGGGGAGACCATATGATGCTGGCGTACTCAAGCTGAGATCTGACAAAGGATGTAAAAGTTAGTAAACGAGTTTCAGGGGGAGCTAAATACAATTTCCGTCTGATGAATCCCAAGGAACGATTGGCTTTTCCAACTATGTAGTTAATATGATCGTCGGAAATGAAAGCACCCAGATATTTATATTTATTTACCTCTTCCAGAGGGACATCATTGATAGTGTAGTTGCAACTCATTGATGATTCCTTTGTTGTCACAGTCATACATTTTGTTTTGTCGATATTAATTCGCATCTGCCACCTGTTGCACCATGAAGCAATAAAGTTCAGATCGCTTTGAAGTGTACAGGTGTCGCAGGCCTGTACTATCTTTTTATACAGCACACAATCGTTAGCGAAGAGTCGAATCGTTGAAGAAATGTTAACAGGGAGATCATTTATATAAATAAGAAAAAATAAGGGGTCCCAGCATGGAGCCCTGGGGCACGCCAGGTGCTTGATGATAACTGATTAGAAACTGCAACGGATTAGGTTCTATTCGTAAGGAATTGTCAAATCCGAAATATAAGTGAGTGGTCTATACTCAACGTTTCCAGTTTTTGTAATAACCGCTGGTGTGGTACGCAGTCAAATGACCGAGAAAAGTCTAGAAATATGATGTCGCTCTGTTGGAGCGAATGAACGTTTTCATAAAGATCAGTTACAAGCTCGAAGAGTTGCGTTTCGTACGATTTGCCTTTTCTAAAGCCATTTTGTCGCTCAGAAAGAATGTTATTTTCCAAAATAAAATTAATAATATGACTCTATATGATATGCTCTAAAATTTTACAGGGGATGCTCGTTAACAATATAGGTCTGTAGTTATTTCAGCATGACGTGTCACCGGACTTGTGAACAGGAATAATTTTTGCATGCTTCCAGTCATTCGGAAAATGCCCTCCTTCGAGGGATTGCTGATACAACAAAGCTAGTATGTTGCTAGAAAATGGCTGCGTAATTCCCAATAATTTAGTGGTAATGCCATCTATGCCTGGCGAAGAACGATAAGGAAGGCCTTCGATGATTTTTCCTATACCACGTGCACAAACATTGATCTTTTCCAAAAAAGCGTGGTCATAAGTCAATTCACAAGAAGGTAACGGAAACGATTCGTTGGTGAAAACTTCACTAAAACATATATTAAAATAGTTAGCAAGTCATCTCTGTAGAAAGTTGTTTTAGCTTTTTTTTTTTTTTTTCTTAATTTCGAGAGCACGAATGGGAATTATACAAGTCGCAAGATAGACTATCGTTGCTTTCCATGGCCCTGTTGTACAAGCGTTTCTTTTTGTTAAGAAGAGACTTGCGTTTTTTAGAAAACCACGGACGTAAAGAGTTGTTCGTAATTTTTATTCTTGGAATGAAGTCGTTGAGAATACAATTCAGTTGATTTTTAAATGCGGACCAGTTTTCTTCAACGGATCGTGAGCGGAATGACCGCTCAAAGTTATCTAAAAAGATCCTCATAACTGTGTTTATTTCATTAGTTTTCGCCTTTGAATAGTCATAAATTTCTTTAAACTGGTTTCGGGAGTGCTGAGTTGCCATTTCGACTTCGATTACCACCATTTTATGATCACTAGTCTCTTCAAGAACATTTACGCGCTTAATTATGTAAACTTAGTTAACTTGTTATTGCCATTTAACATTTGTACCGTGTTTTTTTTTTTAATTTTTGCTTTTGTGTTCAAACAAGTGTTTTTTTAACTTACCCACCCTTGTGTAATACCCGGACACGTGTCCTCAAGGTAAATAAATGAAATAAATGAAATGAAATGAAATTATGTCAGGGGCAGTCGTAAAAAATAGGTCTAGAATGGAGGTTCCTCGGGTAGGCTTAAGCACAACTTGAGAAAGGTAAAGAGATTTAAAAACATTCAGGAACTCTATGCACTCGGAAACATGTCTGCAGTCTGGTATCGGTTCACAAGAAATCCAGTCAATTCCGGGATAATTAAAATCTCCTTTAAGAAATACAAGATATCCGGGGTAACGAGAAATAACATCATCAAGGTTAATACAAAAATCACGGACAAAATCAACGGTAACGTGCGGCGGCTTGTAGCATACACCAACCATGCAGGACATAAGAAAACAAAAACTTAACGCGAACCCAGACCAGTTCCAGATCGGTTTTTAATTCGACAGGGACAGAGTGGAAACATTTTTTTAACAACGATAAGCACCCCTCCACCTTTTGAATGCAACCGGTCTTTCCAATAAAGCGGATAATCTGTATCTAAAACAAGCTTACGGTTATCAATATTACTGCAAAGCCAAGTTTCCGTTCCAAGTATGACATGCAGTTTACAGATTTCGATTGAACAGAAAAGTTCTAGCTTCTTGCTTGGAAACAGGACTGCTAAAATTAGCGACAAGAGAAGACACAGTTCCCGAAAAGCGCTCCTTTGCGCGACGTCATGATTCAGCTGGTGTAAGCACAGAGCTTGTTCTTTCCTGTTCATTCACCATCACCCGATTCTTTATTGTAAAAGAACATACGATCGCCAACGAAAAGCTTGTCGAAAACAAGGCGCACACGGGTCTGGGCCGAATGGAGAGGCTTGCCGTACTCCCATAGCATTTTTCGAGCATGACAAATGTTAGGTAGTCTTCATCTATCGAAACACGCTCATTCTCGAGTTTTTTTTTCAGCTTTGACGCATTTTCAAGGATTTTCTGCTTCTTTTTAAAGCTACGGAAGTTAACAATGATCGGACGAGGGTAGTCCCCCCGCTTTCTCCCCAATCGGTGCGCGCGCTCGAATTCTGCAGCCTCAATTTCAAGGTGCTTTCGAATACAGTTATTCCCGATTTGCTCAGATTTGTTCCACGATTCTTTGTCTTCTTCTGGAAGACCCTTGAATATCAGGTTATTCCGGCGTTGTCTGTTATCCAGCGCGTCCAAACTGGTTGGAGACTACTAAAACGGTTACAGGTGGCGGATATCGATTTGACTTCATTTTCCAGAGAAGCTATTTTTGCTTGGACACCGACAACGTCGTTCTGAACCCATGCCAAGTCCTCTAACTTTTTTTTTCTAAATGAGTCACTGCTTCAGCTAGGTTTTTCACCCCATCTACAATGGTAAAAAGTTTGGTTGCATTTTCCCGTTGATACTGCTCACTGGACTGTACAAGTTTGGCAAGCGTGTTTTGAAATTCCTCCAAGATATAGCTAAATATTTGGCCAGGAAAGGACCACCCGAATCAGCTATAAGCACCAAGATGGATCACGTGTCGTGACCAACGAGCTTGAGTCTTACTACCTTAGAGCGGTAAATCGGAACCCACTGCCTGCAGCGAAAATGGCACCCCCCCCCTCCCCCCCCCCCCCCCGGTTGCCGCCATCTTGCCTGTTCGCCACATTTGTGATCACGTGACGTTACGATGGCTGCGCCCAGAGGTGGGCCAGATCAGATTGGCCAGATCACGGTCAGCAGACGGGCACTCTGGGGCTGCGTTCCAATAGTATACTCGAATGGATCCGAGTTCTTCCGGCGGATCACGTCACCTGACAAGACAGATGCAGCAATGCTCGACGCGGGTACGTTTTCGAACGCAACGGGTACGAGACCTTCAGCCAGGAGTGAGATAAAGTTGCGTCCGATTTACTTGCACCTCCTTCACCGGTGCAGAAAAGTGTAGGGCAGCCTACTTCCGGTGTGTGTATTGAGATACGACCGGAAGTACACCACCCTACACTTTTCTACACGGGTGCAGGAGGCGCAGGTAAATCGAACGCAGCTTCTATCTCACTCCTCGATGAAGGTCTCGCACCCGTTGCGTTCGAAAACCTACCCGCGTCCAGCATTGCTGCATCTGTCTTGTCACGTGACTTGATCCGCCGGAACAGCGCACCCATTCGAGTAAGATGGGAACGCAGCCCCAGAGTGCCCATCTGCTGACCGTGATCTGGCCAATCTGATCTCGCCCACCTTTGGGCACAGCCATCGCAACGTCACGTGATCACTAATGTGGCAAACAGGCAAGATGGCGGCAACCGGGGGGGGGGGGGGGGGGGGGGCATTTTTGGCCGCTGGTTTACCGCTCTAAGTTTACTCAAGCTCGTTGGTCGTGACTCGGAAACGTCGCCTAATTAGCCGATCTAATCCACCCTTTTTAAAATCCGAGTTCCAGGTTCTGATTGTTCTAATATCGAAGCACATGTTCGAGTTCAACAGAATCCCGAGATGACAGGCTTTGAAGTGAGAGGCTCGTGCCAGGGTGCTCGTGGTAAACCCGCGCGTTCTCTGGCCAAACGCCTCGCAACGGCGATTTCCGAGACGCGTCGAGCAGCGCGTTCGTCGACGCGCTGCGTGTGTGTGTTTGTAGGCGTTGTAAAGTAGACGAGGAGGTGAGCAGAGGGCCAATCGTGTATGCGCACCTGGCGCTTTGGTCACTGGCTATCGGGGGGTTGTGGGAAAAAAAAGTGGGGGGGATAGCGCAAAAACGCTCCTTCGCTGAATGAGGCACTAACTGGCTCGCTTCCCTCGGTCCTCGAACGAGCTGCGGCTTTATCGTCGAGCCCGGAGTCGTCGCGCAGACGCCCGACGCTTTATTCACCGCGCGCTCACAATAAAGCAATTACACGCCGCTGTCAGAGAGAAGTCGCGACGCGCACGGACGTGACGGCGGTGCGAGCAGAGATCGCTGCTGCGGCCGCCAGCGTTGGAGGTCAGAGGACGGCGTGCGGACTTTTTACCGTGCAAGCTCCCGGTTGACGTAAGTGAATTCGCCCCGCCATCCGCCTCGCCGTCTGCTCGCTTCGAAGCGCCCGTAAAGTACTTCGAAGGACAAATGATCGAATTACGTGTAACCCGCTTTGTAGTAATAGCTTTGAAGGTAATCAGGGCTCGTGGAAAGAACCCAAGAGAGAACCTTCCTAGACGCCTCGGAGCGCGACAGGTTTCCCAGCGAAACGGTGGTTTGTCGCCGCTCCGAGGTATAGAACACGTTCGCATATATATGTATAGATATAATCATCCGCGTTTTGCCACTGCTAACTTTACGCCTACTGCACGAGTCATAACTTTGGTGCACCCCCCCCCCCCCCCCCCCCCAATTTCCTACGAGTTTCAAGTTGTTCTAAAATTGACTGATGTAGAGGTTTTCGATTGTGCTCAGCATGTTTTTAATAGACCTATTGCCAAATTACTCAAGCAACAAGGAGAATGCAGGTATTGGTGTTCCACGCGTCGCACGTGCTGGCGTAAGCAGTAGTAACTTTTCAAAAGAAAATACCTAAAACAAAGGGCATCTTGCACGCGCGTTCGTCAACGCTTTATTTTGGTTATTTACTTCGAGTCTTTTATACGGGGAAGGCGCGCGCGTGTGGCGCGTCGAAAACCAATCTCTGCATTCACTTTCATAATATGTATATTGAAACCATATGATTCTTTTTACTAATTAAAAGTTAATTAAGAAGTGTAGTCAATTATCGGACTTATCGCAAAGATTAGCCATCTCTATGATGCCCCCCTGGCCGTATAACTCACCTGCCCCAACTGTATTAGTACATCTTTGACGGATTTTTTGTAATAAATGTGTTCGAATGAAAATGGAACACTCGATATATATATATAAGAATAAATCGTCCGTTGTTGCTGTTTCCACCAAGGGTTTTTTTCTTCTCAGTTATATACCCAAGCCTTCGGCCTCCCGGGGCTATATAAGAGACGGAAAAATTGCGCGGGCGCCTTACCGAAACCGCTAGCCTTGTACCTGCTCCGCGAATGGTATCTTCAGCGCATTACTGCGCTTCTCATGCGCTGAAAGTCTTTCTGAAAATAACTGATTTAGGGGTTTCGGACGACGCTCAGCAAGTTTCTAATTGGAACCATATGTCTATTTTCACTAATTAAAAAGTTAATTAGTGAATTTTATTTAATTAGCCGACGTATCGCAAAGATTAGCCACCCACATAATGTCCTCCTGGGCGCATAGCTCACTCGCACAAACTGCATAAGTGTAGATTTAATGTTTTTTTATTAAACAAATCTGCAAGAATAAAAAAAACACCCTATATATATATAGTATATATTGTCACATTTGCCTAAAACTCGAGCGTTGAATCCACGACTGGATTCTCACCCTTTTATTTCCTGCACGGCCGTGAGCCTTCTACCACACTGGACACTATTATTTCATACCCGTCTGACATTCTCGACGAGGATACCAATTCACAAGCCTCCTACCGTGCAGACGCTTGCCGTCAACTCGCCCGTACACACACATTACTCCATCAACAAGCCTCCAAACGCTCTTATGATGTCCGACATCACGATCACCAATATAATGCGGATGACCCCGTACTCATACAGTTTCTTATCCACCAACTTGGGCTCTCCGAAACACTCCTTCCAAAATACCAAGGACCGTAATCGAGTTATTTGCCAAACATCCCCCGTTAACTACCTCGTGGAGCCTGAACAGCCTTCATCTGACCGTCGCAACCGCCGTCGGCATGTCGTGCATGTCGATCGGCTTAAAGGCCGACTACCAGACTCGAGATTCTGCAAGGCAGAACATCCTCCTCACCATAGGGGAGGAGGAAACAGGCAACGGTGGACAGGGTAGGAGGAGGGAGAGGAGGAAGCGAGGGAAACGTGGAAAGCGCGAACTGGTCGTCGGCCTTTAAGCATTTCAAACCTCGCCAGCCCGAACCTTAGCATGCTGGCTCCACCTTTCGGCCAAGATGGCCTTCTCCGAAGAGGGAGCCGTGGCGCGCCCAGCGCTGCCAACTTGGGCGCCGATGTGCTCGAGGGAGAGCGTGCTGAGGCGTGGTTGCGCGCGCGTTGCAGAATAGATTCAGTCTTGGCTGAGCAAACCATAGTCTCCGCCTGCTTATTCTTCGTCCCCAAAACACCCTTGTTACGTTATGAGTCGCCGGTACATCCGTGCTTCGAATGTCGCGTGCAAAGCCATGCGCAGAGCAAGTAGTCGTTTCTTGCGCAGGAGTTGAGGTGACGTCAGAACGACTCCGCGCTCAGATTGGATTTGATTAAAAGGCTAGTGGGTAGACCTCAATGCTAGATTGCCTAGGGTCTACCCACTATCCTTTTTTTTTTCAATCAGTCAGTATATAGTTTTTATGTGATGCCATTTGCGCACATGCCAGTATTTTATGCGCCGTGAGCGTTCGGTTCCCTGTGTTAGTTTCACACCGCAGAAGTTGTAGCTCGAAGAAATCAGTAGCGTAGTGGTCGCTCCGAACGCAACTGTCAGTACCCAGCAATGGCGAAACTTGCAAGCTACGTATAAGAGCTTGGCGTTTTGACGTAATCGCAGCTTCTGTGCAAGAGGAAGGAGGATCGGAGGCACAGTGGGCTAGCGCACACCAGCTTTCGCTCCACGTGCTCCGAGCTATCCAGGGATCCTGAAACCCAGGATTCCTGGGTTCAATCCCCACTTCTGCCCGTATCGATCTGGATGAGCTTCGTACCGGCCTGCGGTCGTGTATCACCATACTGCTGTCGTTGTTGTTAGAACGCTCTTCATTGGCCTGTTCTATATGTACACTCTTAAAAATGAGTCGTGAAATTTACGAGGAAAGTTCTGGCAGCTCTATTTCCAAACATTTCCCGTCAAAATAACGTACGATCATTTTTTGAAATTATGTGGGAAAAGTTGTAAAAAAAACGAGGCACCGCATTCTTAGTTTACGAGCGTAGACGTGAAAATGACGATTGAATCGTTTTCAAATCTTCCCTCGTGAAAATAACGTAGTGTCGTTTTTCTAAATTGACTAGGAAAGTCGTCATTTTTATTTGCGGCTTTATACGTGAAAATTACGAGAAAATCTTTGGCAGCTCTATTTCCAAACATTCCTCGTGAAAATGACGTACCAGCGTCTTCTGAAACTGTATGAGAAAAGCAATAAAGAAAAGGTGGATTGCATTTTTCAGCTGAAAGTATGTATGTGTAGCATACAGCCATTATGATCAGTGTTCTTCACGTAATTATAAAGACAAAAATTGAAAGATTACTTATCACTTTATTCAAGTTTCCGAGCTTCCTCACTGTACACTCTCCTTGGTGATGATGGTGCGCCATTACATCCTGCGGGAAAAGAGAAGAGAAAATTACCCTATGCCACCCTATGATATAACGGCACATAACTCGCTCAAAGGACCACTATGAGAGGAAAGCAAGAAAGGTAGTAACAGCTTCATCCTGACAAAAGGGTGAGGAAAATCGGACAATAGCATTTCTGAAAGTCTGATATGTTAGACATTGCTGGTGTGCCTTCTTTGCATGCCCAGGGCTATGCTACAGGTAATAGTGTTCACTGCAGGGCACACCATTTATTACATCAAACCTTAGGCACCATTAAGAAAATGTGTGACAAACAATAGCCTTTTCCAGATTCAAGGCTGCAGCTGCTACATTTGAAGCCCATATGGATTGATGAAGGCCACAGCGAAAACATCTGCAAATGGCCATTTTTCAGGGCTGTGCTAATATTAAAATTTTCTTATAGCAGTTTAGTATTATACGGTATTTGATATTGGTTTCAACATTAATTGTACTACTGTAAACGGCTTAATTTTTGCAAAGGCTTAGTTTTTGCGAGTTTATCGAAATTGCTTCAAATTGGTCATGCAAATAAGTAACCCCATGGCTACGAATACATTGAACATTACTCCTCATTGTGAAATTTTGTTCCCACAAAGTATTTCCAAAACTGACACTTCACAAAGTGTATGAAATATCAAGCTCGCGAAAATAAAGTCGTTTACGCCAGTCGAACATTTCAAAGCACTCGTAAAGTCACCATTGGAATGAATTGGCTTTGTTCAGTGCGCTTCTCCGCATGTGCACTGCGCTGCCGAGAAGCGAAACCCACGGAGCAGACTCCGCAATCGCATTAATCGCGCTAACACCCAACACCATCTAGAATAATCAAAGCCTCGGCATCGCCTCCTCTTCCTTCATGAAACGTCATCACAGTCGGATGGCGCTAACTCGGCTACTGGGCCCGAGTCCGACCTTCGACGCGCTGATGGAACACGAGCCCCGGCCGAACACTGACGCAGCACTCGTGCCCAATCTCAGGCCTCAATCGATTTGGCTGTGATGACGGTGCGGAGGCCTTTTGCTTATCTACGTGGTGGTGTAACACCCCGGTCGCAAGAATCTCGCCTTGTCGCAGTGCAGACTCATACTTTGGTGAAAAATGCACACCTTCATAGCGGAGAGGTTTTGACATGTACACAGGAGGAATTAAGAGAAAAATTTAAAAATGGTTACGTGAATGTTTATGCATCTGATGTTTTTATCGGTACTCCCCTCAAGGTCAAATTTAGAAAACAAATAACACTGTAGCTATTCTGTTATATATTTATACATTTACACACTATACACACATGAAGTACACCACTGTCACGTGGTGCACACGTTAAAGACCCCAGGTTAGCGGTTGTACCGCACTGGCTAAATTGCTCATCTACAGCTCAGAGACAAGTCGCCCGTCCAGGCAAACTAACTTCAGTTCAAGCTGCCTAAACATGCACGCACCAATTCCCTTTTTTTGAAACACGCGAACTTGCGCCTTGCATACTTACTGAACTTGTTTCCACGCTTCCTATACGAAGCACGGATGTCTGGATGATCCTCGACGTAAGCAGACGTTACCTCCCGTAAAATAACGCCATGGTAAGCGAACGGTACTTTGTGAACCGGCCTTTACTACAGTTTAGGAAACCGTGTTTGCACATCTGATA